AGGGGACACAGGTGGAAACTGAGTGCCCAAATGAGCCACAGAGATATTAGAAAGAACTTTTTTAGTGTCAGAGTGGTGACAAATGGAATGCATTAGGGGGTGATGTGGTGGAGGCTGACTCCATACACAGTTTCAAGTGTAGATATGACAGAGCCCGATAGGCTCAGGAATCTGTACACCTGTTGATTGACGGTTGAGAGGCGGGACCAAAGAGCCAGAGCTCAACCCCCGCAAACACAACTAGGTGAGTACAACTAGGTGAGTACACACACACACACACACACACACACGCACACACACACACACACATACACACACACACACACACACACACACACACACACACACACACACACACACACAAGAGAGCATCGTCAAGAGGAAACAACTGTTGCAGCTAAACACACAAAACGAGCAGTCACCAATTATATACATAACCGCTCGTCCCACACATATTAACGATGCCCTCGAACCACAGACTTCGTCACCCATAAATGGTTGTTTATCGACCTGTGGCAGCGTGCACTGTTGCTTCCAATTGGTCCGCTGGGGAACCTGAAGCCCCCTTCTGATTGGTCGGCGGGCGGCCCCGAGGCGGTTGGCGCTGCCGCTGATTGGCCAGTAGCCTAGCGCGCGTCCGCTGATTGGCGCGCAGCCCGTGTGTCTGTTTTTGGCGGGAAAGACAGGTGCTTTTTACCCGGCCGCCGCCCGCATCTTGTCACGTGACTAACCTCCTCCCCCTCACTCTCATATTTCTCTCTCTCTCTCTCTCTCTCTCTCTCTCTCTCTCTCTCTCTCTCTCTCTCTCTCTCTCTCTCTCTCTCTCTCTCTCTCTCTCTCTCTCTCTTTATTAGTTTACCAGAGGTAAAGTTGCATAGAAAACGAGGAAAAACAGAGGAGGAACTCTGGTATTTGTTTCCTCCTGGCTTAAGATCGCCACGGGAGACGGGGGATTATATACCCATAATGCTCCTCTCTCTGCGCCCTCTGGTTGATCATATCATTGATAACCACCTTGTGTAGGCGCCTGGCCATCCCGACCATAGAACAATAGGGCGGTGTACAATTAACTGCTCCAGCGACCTCTCGTGTTCCGGATGGGGTCTGCACCTGACCCCATCAGTCGGTGCAGCAGTCAGCTGTCGTTCAGTTGTTTCTGGCGCCGTTGTGTTGTCAGAAGGAGCTGTAAGTGCCATTAGTGTGGGCGAAGGACTCTTGAAGTGGTAGTATCTTTGACGGTCGTGTACGCGAAGGATTCCTTGTGTTTTGTGATCTGCAGGAGTCCTCTGAAGGACATATTGCAATATATTCCCTTTATCCCCGGAACACTTAATGCTAAGGGGTCCTCAGGGAATATTTAGGACACCTCCAGTACACCCCAAGGACTCCACCAGGCCGTTCCTGGATCAGAAAGCCTGAAACAACGTCTGAATTTCCACAGACTTCTAGTGAAACCGTTGCTATTGTTGGAAGAATTTTGAATTGGCCTCAAGTGTATACCATTGCCCAGCTGGAGTTGCCCAGGAGTTTTTTGGTCTGATGAGGACCGCTGAAGGACCTCATCTGCTCTCAGGTTGATGAAGCTAGTGGTGGGCGCGAGGTACCGTGTTCGTCCTATCGACCTCAGAGCGGCTACTGTGTGTGCAGGACTTCAAGGAACCTGTGAAGGATGCTGGAGACGTGTCCTCCATGACTAAAGGAAACCATTATTAAACTCTACGGGCTCACCATAGCCCGTGCTACTTGGAACTCTTTGTTCCAGGTAGCGAATCTTAAACAACATTTCTAAACTACAGTTTCTAAAGGATTCTCGTTGCTTGAAAACGTCGTACAATGAAGTTAGGTTGATATTTTTGATATCGTTCGCTGGGGCTGATATTGTATCCGATACAGTGAATACAATTGTTGTAAAAACTGTATTCTTCTCTGTCCAAGATGTATACTGTATTACTACGCTCCAGGATGTGTTTTAATCTGTATAAACTACAAGGTTTCTAGAACCTTGTAGAAATCTCTACGAAGTATCAGGAGATTGTGAAAAGCCAGGATGACTATTTAACTCTTTCGGAAGGGATATGAGACAAACTAAGAACCAGGCTATGAGGAGGGAGTGAAGAAACTATGCCAATCCGCTTGGGCCATCGGAGATCGAACCGTGGCCGATAAAGAACCAGAAAATGAGTCCTATGTGGAAAATAGCCATCGTGCCTACACTACACGAGACCTGACGAATCCCAGAACAGCCCAGTGAAATGTATGAAATCCTAAGGTCATTTAACCACCTGATCTCAACAAAGTCACTTCCTACAAATCCTACAGAAAAGGGAATCACTTTAAAAGCAATCCTAGGCTCCCTAGCGGGCGCCAGGACACCGCCCCTCAAGCCTTCTCACATCCTACGATAAGGATTTCAGCCAAGCTTGCCCCTGCAGGACTCTCGAAACTCTAACAAGGCAACGACCCTTCGGACCCCTTCGGGCAGGGCATTACAGTGTTTTATGGAGGAGTTTGAACCAAATTGTCTTTATGATTCAGGATCTGATGTGAGGATCGAATGGTAATTATGTCTTGGTTGTTGTGTTATTGTTTAGCTTATGTTTTAATCGTGTTTTGTTTATTTTGATTGTGTGTGTCTGTCTGTCTCTGTCTCTCTCTCTCTCTCTCTGTTTCTGTATCTGTCTCTCTCTCCCTAAATTAAGCTCATGTGGGGGGTCAACATACTCTCTCACGACAGGAAGATCTGTTCAACATATCTTGAACAACATAACACTGTATATTCCTGTAAACACTCAACATACAACCCATTATACAGGCAATACATTCCTTCACGACTGCCATACACACACACACAGGTTAATGATCTGTTCTCCAACAGGCAGATCAATTAGCAATTGAGCACTCAACTACAGAATGAGATTGAAGGACTTTTACAGACTCAAGTTATAATTACATGTATTACAAAACTGGCGCAATATGTAACACATCTTGGGTACAGGTACATAGCCACATGTTCCACGGTTCACATATGTAACGTAAATCATAATGTCGACTATTACCATACTGTAAACATATTTGTAAACAGCTGTCGCCATATTGTAAAATATTTTACAACCAATCAAACTATATTGTCAAAGTTTGCAAACAACTTCCGCCATATTGGCAATATTGTATATTATTATTATAATTATTATTATTATAATTATTATTATTTTAATTATTATTATAATTATATTATTATAATTATTATTATTTTTATTATACAAATTCGCTTAAATGGGTAATGTGCATTTTCCAGCTAATTCCACAATATTGGTCTATTTTTTCATCTGTTTTAGTAATATTTCTCTGTCACATTGGCGTCAATGACACGCTAATCCTTTCAGTGACACGCTAATCCTTTCAGTGACACGCTAATCCTTTCAGTGACACGCTAATCCTTTCAGTGACACGCTAATCCTTTCAGTGACATGCCAATCCTTTCAGTGACATGCTAATCCTTTCAGTGACACGCTAATCCTTTCAGTGATACGCTAATCCTTTCAGTGACACGCTAATCCTTTCAATGACACGCTAATCCTTTCAATAACATGCTATTCCTTTCAATGAGACGCTCATCCTTTCAATGACACGCTAATCCTTTCAATGACACGCTAATCCTGTCAGTGACACGCTAATCCTTTCAGTGACACGCTAATCCTTTCAATGACATGCTAATCCTTTCAGTGACATGCTAATCCTTTCAGTGCCACGCTAATCCTTTCAATGACATGCTAATCCTTTCAATGACATGCTAATCCTTTCAATGACATGCTAATCCTTTCAATGAAACGCTAATCATTTCAATGACACGCTAATCCTTTCAGTGACACACTAATCCTTTCAGTGCCACGCTAATCTTTTCAGTGCCACGCTAATCCTGTCAGTGACACGCTAATCCTTTCAGTGACACGCTAATCCTTTCAATGACATGCTAATCCTTTCAGTGACATGCTAATCCTTTCAGTGCCACGCTAATCCTTTCAATGACATGCTAATCCTTTCAATGACATGCTAATCCTTTCAATGACATGCTAATCCTTTCAATGAAACGCTAATCATTTCAATGACACGCTAATCCTTTCAGTGACACACTAATCCTTTCAGTGCCACGCTAATCTTTTCAGTGCCACGCTAATCCTTTCAGTGACACGCTAATCCTTTCAGTGACACGCTAATCCTTTCATTGACACGCTAATCCTTTCATTGATACGCTAATCCTGTCAGTGACACGCTAATCCTTTCAGTGACACGCTAATCCTTTCAGTGACACGCTAATCCTTTCAGTGACACGCTAATCCTTTCAATGACACGCTAATCCTTTCAGTGACATGCTATTCCTTTCAATGACACGCTCATCCTTTCAATGACACGCTAATCCTTTCAGTGACACGCTAATCCTTTCAATGACACGCCCATCCTTTCAATGACACGCTCATCCTTTCAATGACATGCTATTCCTTTCAATGACACGCTCATCCTTTCAATGACACGCTAATCCTTTCAGTGACTCGCTAATCCTTTCAGGGACACGCTAATCCTATCAGCGACGTGCTAATCCGGTCAATGAAACGCCAATCCCGCTTGTTATTGTTGTTTTAGATTCAGGTACTTGGAAGTAAAACTTCCAAGTAGCACGGGCTATGGTGAGCCCGTAGTGGACTTACCCGGCACAGGAGCAGGGCTGAGTGAGGTCCTAAGTAATGTCTGACACCCGTGTGTCCTCCTACAGGAGTGGGCGGGAGCTGGCGCCCCTGGGGAGCTCGCCAGGGGCCAAGATGGGCGCGTCACACCACTTCGACTGGGACATCAACGATTCCAACATACCCAAGGTGAGGTGTTTTGGCTGCTGGGGGTAGTGGTGGTAGTTGGTGGAGTGGTGGTGGTTGTTGGTGGTTAGAGTAGTGGTGGTGATAGCTTCCCTTATGCTCCACTTGTCATTGGTAGTGTAAAGTGCCATAATAGTTGTTGAAGGGGAAGGCTTAACTAGAATAATTACTAGCAAGCGTCTTCACTTGTCCTGTAAATGTTACTATAAAATAATGTTGATAACGCATGAGAATAACGAAACATCTTTATCCTCGTCTCTCCCCTTTCGCCTATGACCACCTGCCTTGGTCCCTGGCCTCCTGTCCTGGTCCCTGGCCTCCTGTCCTGGTCCCTGGCCTCCTGTCCTGGTCCCTGGTCCCTGGCGGTCGCAGGTGACGAAGTACGACCTGTTCTCCGACTGGGCGGACGGACACTGCCGGTTCGTGTACCCGGCGGAGCTGGAGGAGGCCAAGCGACACTCGTCCGGCTGGGCCATGAGGAACACCAACAACCACAACGTTAATATTCTCAAGAAGTCGTGTCTGGGGGTCGTCGTCTGCAGCCTCCGCTGCTCTCTGGAGGCTGGCCTCAAGGTGAGATGGATGCCTGGTTGGATGAATGATGGTTGAATGGGTGGTTGGATGGATCTTGAGTGTGTGTCGGTAATCCAGTAAAAGAATGCTATACCCTGTTCATCATATCCACCACTGGGCAGCCATCTTGTGGCGAGGTGTAGTGCTTTATGTCTTCCATTTACACCACAGATATCCATGCCTCTCCCACCTGTCTCCATTCTTGCTGTTTCCCTCTTGTCTGTCAGCCAGCCATGTACATCTGTCCCACCTGTCAGTCCGCTTACCGTCTGTGTCTGGCAGGTTCACCTTCGCCCGGCGATCTGTGACAAGGCCCGCAAGAAACAGCAAGGAAAACCTTGCCCCAACAAGTCATGTTCTGGCAAGCTGGAAGTCCTTCCCTGCCGGGGCCACTGTGGTTACCCCGTCACCCACTTCTGGAGGCATACGGACCACGCCATATTCTTCCAGGTGGGTGTTGAGAGGTCGTTTATAGGCCATATTCTTCCAGGTGGGTGTTGAGAGGTCGTTTAGAGGCCATATTCTTCCAGGTGGGTGTTGAGAGGTCGTTTAGAGGCCATATTCTTCCAGGTGGGTGTTGAGAGGTCGTTTAGAGGCCATATTCTTCCAGGTGGGTGTTGAGAGGTCGTTTAGAGGCCATATTCTTCCAGGTGGGTGTTGAGAGGTCGTTTAGAGGCCATATTCTTCCAGGTGGGTGTTGAGAGGTCGTTTAGAGGCCATATTCTTCCAGGAAGGTCGTTTGCTGGGCTGAGAGGACGTCGGAGCCAGGACAGAGAGGTAAGTTTGGGATCTCAGGAGTGAATGATCGGGTCATTTGCTTATTGGCTGTTGAGGATTGTTTGGGTCGGTTAGTGGTCAGTGACAGCGGACAGGCCACCTAGAGGTAAGTCCATGTTGGCCTCACAGGTGTTTCACACGTGTTTCGTGGACCACCTGCCAGTATAAGGGGACCACCTGCCAGTATAAGGGGACCACCTGCCAGTATAAGGGGACCACCTGCCAGTATAAGGGGACCACCTGCCAGTATAAGGGGACCACCTGCCAGTATAAGTGGACCACCTGCCAGTATAAGGGGACCACCTGCCAGTATAAGGGGACCACCTGCCAGTATAAGCTGGAGGTATCACCCCAAAACAGGAAGCCACAGGTACGTTGGGTCAACATATAAGTCTTGCAAGACGCCTCACAGGTATTGTCTGGTTTCCCCTGGCTTGCACTAAAAAGGTGTGGTCTAAGATTAAATATACAGTAGTCAGTTTCGCTTCATTGCAGGTGTTAAATGTTTGTCTTTTGATTCACCAATGTCCTCCGGGCGTCATTTTTCAAAAAGGGCTTTGAATTTTCAGACATTTGTCATTAAATGTGCTCCACTGCTGAAACTTTCAGACTCTAAAGTTTAAACTATTAAATTGATTTTTACAGAGGACAAAAATTTGTCGGAAATCACGTTATATTTTCAGCCTTTCGATTTTGATTGCAATATTCACCCTGTCTTTAATCGAATTATTCTGATATCTGGTCTGCGAGTTAGCGAGCGGTCTTAATTCACGCTACAAATTATAATTAGAATCAAAACGACTCTTGAAATCCGCCCTCTCCTCCTCCCAATATTTCTACGACTAAAATCTCCCAGTGAATTCTAACATATAATTCTCAAAACCGAAGCCACACATACGCCATGAGAGTGACGACGTTTCGAACCGCAATGGACTCGTTATAAGAGCCGAGGACAGACCGAAACATCGTCACTT